GTTATCGATCTTTTCTCATTCCCATATGCTATATGCGCCTGTCCGATTGTCGACTCCGAGTCCGAGTCCCTTCCCACTGCTTGACTCGGACGTAAGTGCTGTCAATCTCTTCGGGGGTCGGTACGCGCAACTGTAACGGCACCTGCTATCTAATCACCGGTAACCTGTGAAATGAAAGCATATCGAACGTTCGTGATTCCATCATTTTTTTTGAGATCGCCATTGAACGTGAATTTTCTTCGTGGCCTTACTGTGGGCCGAAGTTGCCGAACCCAAAACGTTTCTCGTTCCCCAAGAAAACCGGCGATTCGGGGATGAATAACTTGCCCAGTGCTAGCGCTGACTCAACGTCAACCGTTATTCAGACTCGGAATCTGACGCTATTATTACCACCTATCTCGGTAGGCTGGACTTTCAGCCGAGACGTGCGACGGTCCGATATCCGGTCGAGGTCGAGGTTCGTGAGATCTCTTGGTGCACGAACACACCCGAGTCCACCAAATGACACTCACGGATCCAGAAACGAGATGACAGGGGAAGAGCTCGTACTACGGATCGTCGGAACCGACGTCATGCACTAGACCTGTCTCGACGACACCAGGCACCATTCCAACTGTGAAAATCCTCAACGCCCCCGTATGTAATCCATTCAAACCGACATTCTATTCATGATCAGCCAAAGTAAATAAGTAATGATAATATGCGATGGGGTGCACGTATGGTAGCGTCCGTACGATACATGCTTTTCGTGGGTGAGGGGGTATGGTGTGTAAGTATGAGTGAGTAACAAACTGCAAACTGGTAGTACAAAACAAGTGGTACACAAGAGGAAAAACACGAGATTCGAGAACCGTCCATCCGCGCTGTGCTGCTGTTGGTGGTACAATGTCTAACAAGGGATAATGAGGTAATACAAACCAGCGTTGAGTGGAAAGATGAATAAAGATATTGATATATGGAAGCCGTCGTGTATCATGTATGTCGATCGGTCTTATGATGTTGCGTGGGTGGCCAGGTGGTGCTCACCATTCTATGCGCCTATCATCGTTTCGCCTGCGCCTCCAGCAGCGCCAACGAAGCACCACTGCTTCAAGAAGGCCTTGTACAGGTCCTCCGACGAAGACGGCGGGCTAGGCGGTTTTTTTCCCACTCGCGGCGTTGATATAGGCGGGGGTGAAGGGGTACCCGGAGGAGGGGATGGAGAATGGAGTGGTAATGCCAGCGGTGTCGGGGTTAGCGGCGGTGACGGTGATCGCGACCTTGGCTTGCGTTCAGGTTCGATGGCGTCTGAATTAAGCATCGAGAAAGGAACGGGAAGACCCGCCGGTTCAACGTACACGGGTACGTCCTCTAATGTATTGGCACGTTCCTCGATAGGAGAGTCCAATGGAGAGCTGCTGCCTCTCGATAGAGCAGGCGTCACGTCCCCATCCCCGTCGGAATGAACTGGGGAACTTGTACCCGTTTGTGGCTTGTGAGAGCCCCAAAACCAGAACACACCGGCGCCCTCTGCTTTCTCTGACGTCGGACTCAGTTGCGTAGGAACAGCATTGGGCTTGGCATAGTTAGCGAGCTTGAAGCCTTTGAGACGATGCTGGAGCGTCGCTTCTGACTGCGCCCGATTATATTGAGGAGGAGGGACCGGAACGGTCGGCAAAGGAGATGAAGCAGGTGACAAGGAGGGTGTCGAGGTGGTAGAATATAGCGGACTCAATGGTGAGGAAGTAGCAAGTGTTGGGAATGGAACGGAACTCTCGACAGGAGCTTTTACTGGTGCGTGGGCTATTTCGACCGTTGAAGGAGGTGCTTCTGTCGAAGAATCAATGAAGAAGCAGGAACAGGATAAATGGTACAAACTCACGGTTGGAACTCCGTATGAAGGGAGCTTTTACCGGTGCATGGGTTTTCTCAACCATTGAAGGTGATGCTTCTGTCGAAGAAATCAATGAAGCAGCAGGAACGGGAGGAATAGTATAAACTCACGGTTGGGACTCCGAACGAAGGCCACACGATAGTTTTTCCCGGCATTGTTATCCCACCATTCACCTCCACCTGCGGAATACCGCGCAACGAGAAAGATAGTACGATCGATAAGACTCGAAGCGTAATCTTCCAACTTGATCGTGTATTCAAAACGATCCCAGACGGCAGGTCCTCCTGCAGCGACACCTGCCGCAAGATCGCCTATAGTGAGGTTCGTCTTGGATAAAATTGGTAACGAGGGCAACGAGGTTTGATACCGAGCAGCAACCTCAGAGGTCGTCTGCCAATCGTCGAGGGTGAACCTGACATAGACCTGCTTCTCGTACGATATGTTGCGCACGAGCAGCGTGCCCTTGAGAGCCAGGGTCGACTGGGGAAGAGTTAAGGACTCGAGTATCACATTGCTTCCCTCTCTTGGCGTGGTAGGGCTTGGAACGATGTCGGTAAATGGAGACAAGGAGTACGAGGGGAGAACCAAAGGGAAAGGGAATCGCGGGCCCTCTGTGTGACGAGAAGAACCTTCGACCTCGGTTTCTGTTTCGGTCTCTGCGTCCGAAGCGGGTATAGTTCGAAGCAATGATGCTGGCTTCGCAGACCTGTTAAAAACACGGACTGTCTCGAGCTGGTGGGTAGGAAAATGGACATTTTTGTGGCAGTGAGATTCGTGAGAAGATAGTGCAGGCGTAGACGGGGCCGAGCGAGCACGGGTATGTTGGATAGATAGTGAAGGCATATCTGGGACTGAGGATGAGCGAGGTGACCCCTTGAGTGAAGATTTGAGTGGGCGACCATTGGACAGCAAAACTGGGGTCGAGTTGGTACGCTGTGGGGAGATGGCCGGCTGGGAACGTCTGGGCTGGGGCTCCTAGGCGAGGGCGAGCTTCGTGGGAAAGGTACGCCTAGGCGAGTATCGAGCCGCAATGTTTTCGGCGGCGAGCTGAGCAAACCATGGTCGTCGTCGTCGGAAGAACAGTCGTTCTGGATGTGGAAGACGGGGCGGTGGACCCGTGGCAGCGAGCCCAGCGACGCAAATGCACCTGAAGAATGGGTATACGAACGGCGGTGAGTGGGACGGCCTGCGCTGGGGGTAGGCAGCGAGTAGGGCATACGGGGACGGGGGAGGGTGGTGGTTATCGTCAACCAGCGGATGCGGCTACTTTTTGATTCAGTCTCTTTTCTTTTCAAGGCTCCACTTGCCAATCTCCGATCCTTTTGGGTCGCCCGATCCCATCTCGTGTCTTATCTCCCGGCATTTCCTCGATCTCATTGGTCGGCTTTCGGCACAGCATCAAAAATTTCAGCCGCGCTCTAGGTGTATATCCCCTTTTGGCACTTTTTATGCCTTCTTATCTGATCGTATTACCCCATCAGTTTCGCGTATGTTTTTTCTATTCACACAACATTCACGTTAAAATACTGCTCATGAGTTGCGCAACCGCAGAATTTACCGTCGCCACAATCACGTCTCGTAATACGTCCACAGTAACTAGCTTCGGCTACTCAATTGTTTTGCTGCTGGCTATAAGTAGCCTCTATTCCGACTCTTCGGCGCAGAACTGTAACGGTCCCCACCTGCGCCTGTCGGACACGTCCTTCACCCACTGTTCGCTTTTATTTAATTATAAATATGTCAAAAACCCGCCAGCCCCCGCCTCCATTCTACCGCTGCGACACGTTCGTTCAAGGTGGTTAATCCTGTTCATCACATCTTCCTGCGAACCGCTATCAACCCTTTCAGAACCTTGGTATTCTCGGCTGATCCTTCTGCTCCCATCTCGGGTTCACGCTCCCACTTTGTGGGATCCTCTCTCGCCATCCTTCCCTAGCAACTGTTTGTCTCTATATCAATCGACGTCGTGGTTTCTCCGATATTGCTTGCTTGTATTCAAGTCGCTATGAACCTTTTCATTGATTACCGGTGAGAGCACGTACCTGCAAGTGCCTGTAACATACGAACATCCAAGCATTTTCGCATGCATCGAAGTCACGGATTCAGACTTAGCCCCTCTTGACGACCCTTTATCTCATTACGTGGAGCCATGTTACCGTCCATATCTTCTTCTCGCATGCAGTGTGTATTCCACTGCGCTGATATCACGCCCCATTGATTGGCCGTTCAACTCTCGGGCTTCGCGTGAGACTCCCCTGACCCACGTATTTTTTGCACTCCCAGTCGGATTCGTATTAACGACGCTTTTCTATTCAAAGCAGGACCGCCGCTGTTCACGTCTATCGATGAAGACTACGTCCTCAGCTCTCCTAGCGACTTATTGACTTCCCGCATATCAGCACGACGCTCAACTTCCCATAGCCAACCAATCGGTCGAAACATCTATTGTTATCACTGCATCTTGGGAATAGCTTAGGAACGAACGAACTCTTCCAAGAACATTATCTTTATCTTTCTACTATCCAACCATCGTAGCGCGCCCGATGCATAGGCTTTCGACCAGAATAGAACTTGGTTCACTGGACATATTCCGATATTCCGAATGGTTGATACATGAATCTGAGTCACTGAGTTTGAACGTTATCTTCGTACAAGTCATGGGTCAGTCCCATCGTCATCTGTCTCTCGGCCCTGACTCTAGTACGAGCCCTAACGTTCGTCTCCTATTCGACCTATGATGTAGTCATAACCCACGTTCACTAATAGTACTCAACATTCCCGGCACATACATGTACCTTCCTCCTCCGTAGTTACACTACAGCTCTGGATCGCTTGCCTAGATTTCTCAAGATGACCCATATCGATATCTCCTTCCGCTTAATGACTCCTGTATATTTGCGTCATTCGCGAGATCAGTCGGTACTTCTAGGCACTTGAAGGCTATACTCGCAACTGGCTCGAAGCCTTTGTCGTCATTTTGGTCCCGAGTTGACGCGAGATCCAGCCTAACAGTGGAATAGCGTAGTGGTTCAGCTTCTACCACAATTACCGGCAACTTGAATACATATCACAGGATCATTGCTGGGATGAATGACATATACTAAAAATATGAAATCAGCGAAGGAAATGGGGGCACCCAGGATTGAACTGGGGACCTCCAGAACAAACATTCGTTGGCACCAAACTTCAGTCTGTTGCTCTCCCAACTGAGCTATGCCCCCCCGACCGGAGGCACAGCCAATCGTTTCGCCACCTCGATTTCTACCACGTTCTCACCGGGGTCAAATAATCTCCATTGGCACTAATTCCAAGTTAACTCCTCGCAAAACATTCAAGTAACCGAATACTGAGTAAATCAAGAACCTACGTCAGAAAAGCATCACCGCGCGTTCGTGTTCTTTCCCTTACCGCCACACAACCCCGTCGGCGTCGTGAGGCGTCGGTGTTGGGAGTCACGGTGCAGGTGGAGAGGAAGTCGGAAGTCGCAGAACTCTATTGCGTGTGGATTATCGATTATTCTGCTCCATGCGTGAAGCCACGCGCCAAACGCCAAACTTCTGGGACCTTCTCCACGTACAATCCGTTAGTTGCATCGCCTAATAGCCACCAACGTCAGAACTATCTTCGGCAAGGCATAAGCGTAAAGATAGTCATCATCTCTCGTGGGATTCCTGTCGTACTAGTGTCAATTACTTGGATACGAATATCTATTGGAACTTGGGAGCACATACTCTGCTTTCGGACTTTTGGTGTCCCCGGGGGCGGGATCGAAGAATGGAGAGCCCGTGCGCTTAGCGCTTACGCTTAGGTGAGAGATAGCAACGGCGGCATAGTCGATACTGAAAGCATGGGCGCAGCGGCGGACTCCGTAGCAAAGGAACCAGGGCCGGCGAAGCATGGAGATGCAGGGTCGCTCAATAACACATACAGGGCTCCGTGGTACCAACCCTTTCCTGCTCTCACGTCACTTTTAGCTTTGATACGACGATAATACGAAGACTTTCCGTAGACCTTTACGATATGAGTGGAGCGATACTATCCCTATTGACAACTTCCTGTGCTTGCTGGTCATTCTCGCGAACGCCTTCTAATTTGAAGGTGGAGCAAGCGGTACGTTATTATAGTCCATTGAGATTTCATAGAGTGGAAATGTAACAAGGCAAAAGCCGAGAGAGAGATTGGAAATGAAGGGGTGATCTCCGGTCCAGGGAGGAGATGTTTGATTAGGAAGCGATGGTTTTGCCAAATAACGCGAACGCGTACCTTAGTCAGGATCGGCTTCTAGGTTGCCAGCTTCCGGGTTGTCCTGTCCTAATTAGGACCTACGATCACACAATCGAGCCTGGTACCCCCTCAGCAAAGCGAAGCCGTATGTGGTAGGGGTTATATTATCATAGAATCCATCTTCTATCCTGCTCGGTTCTTGAATATTCAATCAGAGTCTCGATCCACAATAAATGAAGGAAGCCTACTCAAAAGTGAGTAAAACCCGACGGATACCGGTTTCGATCATCAATCAATTATCGGCCGAAAAGAGCGTACATATATGAACCCGATCAGCATTTTTTTTTTCTGAAACAGGACACGATCAACCATCTCTATTACCTGGAAATCCGCAACTGAACAAGAAAGCAGTTGAGATGAAATCAGGAAGGTATGATAACACTTTCCATTTTTCCTGGCGCTGGTGATTAGATAACTTCCAAGGATCTCGCAGTGAGAACAATGTGCTTACCGATTGCGCGAGAAATACCGCTCGGCTCCGTTCGGCGTTCAAACGTAAACAGGACGCAAGATCGATTAGAGAGCATACTGTGGAGTTGCAAAGCTACACTTCGATCCCAAGCAGACACTTTGGCATTTCCAGAAGGTAGTGGTGCACGTCACTCGTGGCAGAGATCGAGCCAACAACACAGCCACGATTGATCCTGGCTTCGCAATCAGATTATCGCAGTTTAGCCTCGAGAGGTCAATAAGACGTCATGTCAATACGTCCGCTAGCGTTATCTTGGAATGTGGTTGGGCTCCGGTGGAGCGGAACCCTGTACGATTCTATGACATCAGGAATCCCTACGTGGCGAGTCTTTCGTGGGCCGATATGGACGATGTCGTTATTGGTGGATATTCATAAGCGTAATAAGTGGTGCTACTTGTTTTGTGCGTTCGATGAGCCATTCTTTCTGAGTTTATCGTGCTTACCGCCCGCTTAGTGTCTGTCGAGGATGCTTCGACTGCGTGGATGAAAGTTGTCTTCTGGCTTTGTTATCGGCACTACAGGCTTGGAATTCCATTCGATGTGTCCTGGATAGGCTTGTATCCGGCCGTTGGCGTCATATACTGTGTTTTCCTTATCGACGTCAGAAGGTTAGACTTCAGTAAAGACGACGGATGCACCGGACGCTCTGTTTCCAGCTTACCCAATTTCCTATACAACATCGGCCGCGAAAATATCATGTTACGGTCTCAGTCTCGTGGCCAAAGTTCCTTCATCGCCAACTACTCCCTTGTCACTTTGCACAAGCAATGTTCAAAGGCACCTATGACGATGGTCGAGAAAAGTCTACGTGAAGAATTTCACTGACGCACCAGCGGCCTGCGTAATCAACCTATCGATTGCCTCGGCTACTAACGTCGCGAATTGAACGATCTGGCTACCAGAAATCATGGCTCACTGTGCACTGGCACACTCTGAGATGCTGTTCGCGGCCGCTCGGGCAATGATGTTTTTATCTAGAGCAACCTCTGGGAGGGGTCGTCTTGACGGGACCTCTATCACTGCGGCAAGATATTGACCTAACCAACTATGCGTCGTAAAATCTTGCTGCCAGTGCTGAACTAGTTGTTGGCGCTATCGACACTCTGATCCGTAAAATAAAGAGGAACATACACGGCGGCTTGCATAAATCAATATCTTTCTTCCTCTTTCCACTCAACGCTGGTTTGTACTGCTTCATTATCTGTTTTAAACATTGTACCACCAACAGTAGCACATCACGAAAAGCATGTGTATCGTACGGATGCTACCATACGTGCACTCAAGAGCATTTTATCATTACTTACCTACTTTGGCCCTGGTCATGAATAGAATGCCGTTTGAATGGATTGCATACGAGGCGTTGGGGTGCCTGGTGTCGTCTCGACAGGTCTAGTGTTTAGTTACTATGATGTCGGTCCCGACGATCCGTAGTACGAGTGGGTCCTGTCATTTGTTTCTGGATCCGCGAGTGTCCAAGTTGGACTCGGGTATGTTCGTGCACCAAGAGATCTCACGAAACCCACCTCGACCGGATATCGGACCGTCACGCGTTTCGGCCGAGAGCCCAGTCCACCGAGATAGGTGGTGATGATAGCGTCAGATTCTGAATAACGGTTGACACGGTTGAGTCAGCACTAGCAAGTTATTCATTCCCGAATCGCCGTTTTTCCTTGGGGAACGAGAAACATTTTGGGCTCAGCAACTTCGGCCCACAGTAAGGCCACGATGAAAGTTTAATGGCGATCCCAAAAAAAAATGATGGAATCACGAAGGTTCGATACTGTTTTATTTCACGAATCACCCGTGATTAGATAGCCGTTGCCGCTATAATTGCGAGAGGAGATGCGCGTTCCGATCTCCGAGAAGATCAGTGACAGCACTTATGTCGAGCAGCGGGCAGGACTCGACAATCAGACAGGCGCATATGGGAATGGGAAAAGATCGATAACGAGTTTTTCATACACGTGTTTGTTTGTGGCTCTATCTTTTGGCACCGCGAGATAAGGGAGGAGAGTTTCGCAAAGGAAAAGGTCCTAAAGGAATAAAATCTTGAAGTTGGCTCGACATTGCCGGAACACTCGTAAGACGCAGCCACAATTCTGACTGTTTCCCTTTGAACCATCATCATAAGCGGACACCGCCCGGCCTTGCGAGAAAGAGCCTGCTATGTAAGACGTAATCTCAGTGGGGTATGGTTTATGCGCTCTTACTCTACCTGGTGGAGTCTCGGAACAACATTCCTACATGGCGTGCGTCTTGGTCCCGAAGACTTTTATACTTACCTCGACTACGGAAGGAATAGAGTTCGCCGTGGAAACTGTATAAGACTCGAAATGGTTGCATTCAATAGTTCCGTGGCTTGTTCTAATCCTTCGGTTAGCGCGGGTTCGAATTCTTCGTGGCAGGTTGACAGGTAAAGTTCATTTCGCGTGAGGAATACTTGAACACCATAGCTCGGCGGATCATCGATAAATGTCAACTGTGGTATTTGGCGATCATAACCTGGTTCTTTGTATAGTAGCAGCCATTCAAAGCGACCCTATTATCCACCCGACTCCTCACTTCGTCCAGTCAATGTTCAAAGGCACCTAAGGCAAGCTCAGATGGGGTACTTTTTGGGCATCGCTCTACTCACCTGCGAGATCTGTCTGTCGATTTCTTTCTTCAATAAGTTCCCGAATAAGTGAATTTGGCTGACAGCAACTTTCGTCCATTCATCAACGGGGCACTCAGAGATACTCTGCGTAACTGCTTGGTCAATGATGACATCATCCAAAGCGGTATTTGGGTGAGGTCTTTGTAGCACCTTGGTCTTCACCGCTATGAGATATTCGCTGAGCCAAGGATGCGCGCAAAATCGGCCCGTGTGGAGGTACCAAGGCTTCGTGGAGAACGTAGACTCCAACTCACTTCCGCACCATCGACATTCCAGGGGACCATGGAGGAACAGCAGTTTGGATTCTTTACCTGCCAGCCAGGTCATTATCTCCGGATCTAGTTGTGTGACTTGTCTACACTTCCTGTGATACTTCCGAAGACGAACATACTGCAGGGCGTTGATAGAACACAATTCCTCAAGCTCTTCTAGATCATCAAGGGGAATAGCAAGCGTGTTCTTAGCTGCTGCTTCACCCAACACCCTCCATCCATTGGCAATTGCATGAGCAAAGATCTCCAGCGCCTTTTCTCTCATCACAGGGGATGCAATTACCATCTGGATGAACTTATCCAGTGTATGATCCATGCAATATTTGTCCAGTGCCTTAGTCACGGCCACGATCTGCTCAACGCTCTTGATCTGGGGAGCGACATCCGGGTAACAGAGGAGCAGGATAGTGCGAAAGGTGTCGCTATCCTCCTTGACCTCGAGGACAGGAAATCCATCCCTTTCTTCCGTGTGTTGGCTGCTCTTTAGAACGTGGCGAAAGAATGACGACGGGGATTTTAGCGATAATAATCCGCTGA